CCTAGAAAAAATTGAATCCCATAAAAAAAGGGCAGGTAAATTCTATAATCTTTGACCTTTTTCATTTTTACCGTTTTTCTCTAAAACAAATCTCATGCATTCCTATAATAATTTTAATCTCTATGAAACCAGAGATTGGTTCGATCCCCAGCGGAGTCGGGTTTTTTTTTCATTTTTACCTTTTTTCTGTAAAATGAATCCCATGGACCCGTAAAAAAATCTTATAATCCCATAAAAAAAGGCAGGTAAATACTGCAAAAAAAATTGCATAGGACAGGTACAATCTTTGACCTTTTTTTTCTGTCAAATGAATCCTATGGATCCCTAGAAAAAATTGAATCCCATAAAAAAAAGGGCAGGTAAATTCTACAATTTTTTTGTGCAGGGCAGGTCTTTTTACCTTTTTTCAGTTGTTTTTTCATTTTAAATTTTTTTCTGTAAAATCAATCCCATGGATCCCTATAAAAATTTGAATCTCATAAAAAAGGGCAGGTAAATTCTACAATTTTTTTTGCACAGGACAGGTAAAATATTTTACCTTTTTTTCTGTAAAATGAACCCCATGGATCCCTCAAAAATTTTGAATCCCATAAAAAAAGGGCAGGTAAATTCTACAATATTTTTTTGCACGGGACAGGTAAAATCTACTTAACCAAATATAATAAATCAGTCATTACGAAACAAACAGGGGACTGTACTTATGCATAAAAAAGGCAGGTAAATTCTACAATTTTTTGTGCAGGACGGGTCTAATCTTTTACCTTATTTTTCTGTAAAATGAATCCCTTGGATCCCTAAAAAAAATTTGAATCGCATAAAAAAAGGGCAGGTATATTCTTTTTTTTTTGCGCATGACAGGTAAAATCTACTTAACCAAAAATAATAAATCAGTCATTACGAAACAAACGGGAGACTGTACTTATGCATAAGTTCTTTGTCAGCAACCTGCAATTTAGCGTTTTGGGGCCTTCCTCCCTCTCTCTCTTCACTTGTCATGCTACATTCCCTCAAAAAAAAACTTGTCATGCTACAGAGCAACAAGTTACAAAACTTGGGTTCCGGGGCAGAGCATGCGAACATGGATATTATCCTGACAACAGATGCAATTGTACATTGGAATACAAAATAATAATTCAGTATTAACTAGAAATAAATTACTTAAATGAATTTATTATTAGCCCACAGTATTCTTACATATCCGTTTGATCAACATTAACCTATACGAACAATTCGACCATGGCCATAACGAAACATCTCGAGGGGTTTCAGTTGAGGTATAAACCGATTAGAAAGAGTATTTCTAACTACCCTTGAAACAGCCATCCCCTATGACTTTGTAGGAGGTGGTACTGCTGTGGACGAGTATAGAGACTTCAGCTGCCTGTGTATAAGCTTGCTGTCAGACACAGCCAGCAGCTCCATCCCATCCGACCACCATTGCTCCAGCCCGTGCGCCTCCATGAACTTCTGTGGGCCTTTTGACGACGTGACGAAGAGCTTCGCGACCACGTCACCAGCAATCTCGCTCGCCTTGCGCTGCTGCTGCTGCTCATCCGGACCCCCGTCGGGTCCGGAGGAAGAGGGAGCACTGTAGTGGCAGCAGATGTAGTCACTGTTGTTCACATACAAGTGTGGCACCCATTTCTTCTCTGCGCGTAGTCTCTTCTTGATGCTGCCATCCTCTTTTGCACAGTCAAGCGCTGCTTCTTCCTTCAATGGCAGGCTTGCCTTCACTTTCTGCCACAGGTGACTGGCCTTCTCGCTCATGCTTCTTAGGCTCATGGCAAGTGAAACAGAAGGTGGATTGAACAGATGGCAGTCTACGAAGATTCCTTGCTTGGCGAGATCTTTGCATACCTGAAGGGCAAAGCCAGCTCCCAACGAGTGCCCTGCGACGCAAACATTTGCGCTCCCAAATCTCTCAACTGCAGCCTTCAGTGCTTCTAAAGCGCCAACATATCTCACTGATCCTTTTAAGCTCTCCCAAACCAGGAAACGTAGATCATCCTGTAGATCTCTTTTAATTGTAGGTTTCTGCAGCAATGTTCCTCGGAGAGCTAGCACGGCCCTTGGTGCGCCACTTGGTCTTAGGAGGATAAGATCAGACAATGCAGAAGACCGGTCCCACTCAAGGACGGCGCCGTATATGGAGCCATCTCTCTCGTCCACCAGTGTCTGTGTGACCTTGTACTTGAAGGGCTTCCACCATTTTGGAGCAAGGCCATCCTCTTCTCCTTTCTGATCTTGTCTGTCTATTTCAAGAAGGTAGACTGCCTGAATGAAGCATGCCATTACCATCCTTTTGTAATTTGGATCCTTCCTGCAAATCAGGCATTAGGAGAAAATGTTACATATACCTCATGTGGGAATGTCTAAGTAAAGTAGGCGTTTCAGAGTCCAGAGAACCTCATTTGTTGAAGTAATTGTTAATTAAAATTACGAGAAAAGGAACATAAATCCTGTTTGAAATGGGCACTTCGACATTGGTATCAGGCTTCAAGCGTTTCAGAGTCCAGAACTTCATTTGTTGAAGTAATAGTTCATTAAAATTACGAGAAAAGGAACATAAATCCTGTTTGATATGGGCACTTGACAATGGTATCAGGCTGGCCTCATAAAATATATACATAGCAACAAGTTACAGTTTTGCAGTGATGATGTTTCGCCTATTCCCTACAGACTTCAGTTATGTTCATTTCCAATATATTTTGCCCGCAAAAGCCCTGTAAGCTGGTGTCCCCTCCATGCCAACATAGTCTTAGCAGGAATATGCAATGTGGATTTCCGTTGCTCATCATTTTACATGATTATGATACCCTTCCCGTCCCCTCATTTTTAAGTTTATAATCCAGAAAGCTCATTTTTCTATGGCCATTCCCCCCATTTTTCTGTAAACATCACTAGCGACAAATATTACCAACAAGAATCACATGATGCAAATCTTTCCCATTTTGTTGGGCTGTTTTACCTTGCAGTCTTACATACTAAGATCATACTGCTCAGAGTTAACTAGCTAACTTAAATCTTTTTTTAGGCAATGAAGCAAACTTAACTTGAAGCAGAGGTTAAAAACTTCCTAAATTGCCATGAAAACAAGAGCCACACAGCTACACAAACAAAGCGGGTTAACATAAAAACATAGTTTAAAACTAGGAAGGTACGTACTAGTTTATAGTCTGCGCAAGGGAGGATGAGTAGGTTAAAGGAAACTTAACTGGTTGAATTGGTGCTTTCTTATTTGTACTCAAAAGACAAAACACAGTTCCTAAGGAAAGGTAGGAGGAGCATGTGCACGTCCGTGGCTCAGGAAACAGAAAACGAGATGGAGGGCAATCTTTTGTTTCCAGTCCTGTCATAACCTAAACTTGCAGGAAAGGTACAGCAAACCTAATTTGCACATCACACCACGGGATACTGCAAATAATAAGCAAACTAAGAGAGAGTAAATTTTGCTCTCATAATTTAATCAAGCAAAGTCGGCAGATTTCATCCCAATCAATAAACTCCCCGCAATTGCAGTTGGCAGGACGAGCATTTCAATTGGACGGCACTTCCTAAACTAATCTCGTCTCCATCTCAACAACAGACCAAAGGGCTCGGCAGACCCCCGCGAGTTCATCGAATCCACAGCGCATGCCGAACTCATCACATACCGGAGTGACCCGGCACACCCCGTTTCAATCCTGTATTATATGGCACAAGGAAAGTGCAAGATATATGGAATTATAGAGCGAGAGCGGAAAAATTACCAACTCGATCTGATGATCTCCCTCCAGTTGGGCGGCGGCAGGTTGCGGGGGCCGGAGACGTGGAAGGCGTAGGGGTGCCCCTCGACCGCCGCGTCGGCCGGGGCCACCACCACGGCGTCGCCGCCGCACCGTCCCCCGACCTCCCCCACCACCATCACCACATCCTCCTCCTCCTCCTCCCCCTCCCCCTTAACCGCCTCCGGATTCACCTCCCCTCCCGCCGCCGCGGCCGGCCCAGGCGACACCAAGTCCATCGCCATGGCGGCGCAGATCAAACCTCCCGACCGCTCCGCTCGCCGCGCGGGGGCAAGGGCAAGCGTGGAGCGCGTGAGCACGGGGGAGGACGAGAATGTCGTCGAGGGGTAGGGGCGGGGATTCGTGGGGACCGGAAGATGTGAGAGCGTCGTCTTCCTGGTGGCGTGGGAGAAGAGGTATATCTGGGATCTCGGCGGGGGGCAGCGCCCAACGGTCATGTTCGGAAGGGGAGCAGCAACTGGGGGGTTTAATGATGGGGGCGTGGCTTGGCCAAGTGGGGAAACGAGTATGCCTTCCTTGTTGGCCTTCTTCCTCCTTGGCCCTTGGGGAGGAGGGTTCCGGGTCAGATTTTAGAATTTTTTGTAACGCGTTCCAGGTGAGATTGGGGTTAAGCACCGACCAAGAGGTGAACCCTCGCGGGCCGCACGAGAAACTTCCTCGCCTTTTCCATCGGTTCCCCTAATCTCCGGAGACTAGTCTGCAATAAAAGCTCGAGCCTTGTGAGTCTCTCAAGATTGATTCGTATTTTGGCTTGAGTCAGATGGATCTGCAAAGAAATGATCCAAGTATGACCGTTTTATTAACTTGAGGGAGAAACGAGTTGATCTTAAGCCAACACTATCTCGCTCAATTTTAGCTCGATACCATATAATTTTGTTAAATAATCTTGATTTATATTATTCAAGAAAAATAGGATATATTATTGTCATTGTGCAATTTTTCTCTATTCTACCTACTAGCAAAATCAAAGCTTAATTATGCTCAGAGATAATTAAGCCTTATATGGTACATGGTCGGCCTTATATTAAATATCCTATTATTCTTGGCCAAAGTTTGAGAACAGATACACTTTCATTTTCTTTTCTTTCTAGTTCATATAGGATCTCTTGATAGTATCAAGTACTCCCTTCGTTCACAAATGTAAGATGTGTAGAAGACTATAGGATGCAACTCAATTTCATCTGAGTCTGTTACAATATATACATGTGGTGTCTTGCGTGATAAGTCAACTAACCCTACAATATCTCTAGGAATCAGCTATACAAGGCTAGAGATAATATGAGAATCAATCGGTAATAAATACAGAGATATCACGGTTCAACACCCCCTTGCAGTCGAAGCGTCGGCGTCGGCGATGCAAAGACTAGAACGAAACTCTTGGAATGCAGCAGTTGGCAACCCGGTCATGATGTCGGCAAACTGTCGGGTAGTCGGTACATGAAGAACTCGAAGCTGACCCAACTGAACCTTCTCGCGTACAAAGTGAACATCGAGCTCAATGTGTTTGGTGTGTTTGTGCTGCACCGGATTAGCCGCGAGTAGGTGGCCGACACGTTATCGCAGAAGACCACAGTGGCTTTCGGAAGTGGAATCCAAAGCTCACCAAGAAGGTGACGAAGCCAACAAGTCTCCGCGACCATGTTGGCAACAGCTCGGTACTCGGCCTCAACACTCGAACGGGAGGCAAGAGACAAGAGAGTCAAGAGAGGACCAAGAGACAAGAGAGTCATCGAAGAAGACACAATAGCCACACGTGCAACGTCGAGTGTCAGGACAGCCAGCCCAATCCACGTCAGTATAAGCGAGAAGCTCAGTTGAGGCAGAGGCGCGAAGACGAAGACCATAGATTGGCGTGCCGCGAACGTATCGAAGAATGCGCTTGACCAAGGACCAGTGAACATCATGGGGCGAGTGCATATGCAAGCAAACTTGTTGCACCACAAACTGGATGTCTGGTCTGGTGAGCGTAAGGTACTGAAGGGCACCAACAATGCTGCGGTAGAGGGTGGCGTCAGCAGCGGGCTGGCCGGCGGTGGCGGAGAGCTTCGGTTTGGCCTCGGCAGGCGTGGCGGCCGGCTTGGGGTCAGTCATGCCGGCACGGTCCAGAAGATCAAGCGCGTACTATCCCTGGTGAAGGAAGAACCCAGAGGCATCGCGTCGCACATTAATGACGAGGAAGAAGTGCATCGCGCCTAGATCCTTCAGCCGAAACTCAGAGCCAAGACGTCCAATGATGCCGCGGAGAAGATCCTCTCGAGAGGCAGTGATGACAATATCATCGACGTAGAGCAGAAGCATAGCCACATGATCAGACCGATGAAGCACGAACAACGACGTGTCGGAGGTGGTGCTGCAAAACCCAAGAAGATCGAGGAATGCCGCGATGCGCTGGTACCACACGCGCGGAGCCTGTTTGAGGCCGTATAACGACCGTGACAACATGTAGACATCATTCGGATGATGAGGGTCAACAAACCCGGCCAGCTGCTGACAGAGAACCCGCTCCTGAAGATGGTCGTACAAAAAAACATTGTTGATGTCGAGCTGATGTACAGGCCAGCGACGAGAGGCGGCTAGCTGGAGGACAACACGGATCGTGGCGGGTTTGACAATCGGAGAGAAAGTCTCGGAGAAGTCAACACCGGCACGTTGCGCAAAACCGCGCACAACCCAACGAGCCTTGTATCTGTCGAGAGAACCGTCCGGGAGGAGTTTATGACGAAAAACCCACTTGCCGAAGATGACGTTCGCTCCAGGAGGACGAGGAACAAGGGTCCAAGTCCGGTTGGCGACAAGAGCATCATACTCAGCGCGCATGGCGGCGGTCCAATGCGGATCACTCAACATAGAACGCACCGAGCGCGGAACTGGAGAGATGGCCGTGATGCTGAGGTTGTGGTAGCGCGGGTTCGGCTGATGCACCCCAGCCTTGGCACGCATCACCATGGAGTGGTGAGGCGGCGGGGGAGGCGGGCGTGAACCGCGGTGAGGGGCCACTATTGGGGAACGCAGTAATTTCAGAAAAAATCCTACGCACACGCAAGATCTATCATGGTGATGCATAGCAACGAGAGGGGAGAGTGTAGTCCATGTACCAACGTAGACCATAAGCGGAAGCGTTATGACAACGCGGTTGATGTAGTCATAAGTCTTCATGATCCGACCGATCCTAGTACCGAAAGTACGGCACCTCCGCGATCTGCACACGTTCGGCTCGGTGACGTCCCACGAACTCTCGATCCAGCTGAGTGTCGAGGGAGAACTTCGTCAGCACGACGGCGTGATGACGGTGATGATGAAGTTACCGACACAGGGCTTCGCCTAAGCACTACGACGATATAACCGAGGTGGATTATGGTGGAGGGGGCACCGCACACTGAAGGAAATATGCCCTAGAGGCAATAATAAAGTTTTTATTTATATTTCCTTATATCATGATAAATGTTTATTATTCATGCTAGAATTGTATTAACCGGAAACTTAGTACATGTGTGAATACATAGATGAACAGAATGTCACTAGTATGCCTCTACTTGACTAGCTCGTTGAATCAATGATGGTTATGTTTCCTAACCATAGACATGAGTTGTCATTTGATTAACGGGATCACATCATTAGAGAATGATGTGATTGACTTGACCCATCTGTTAGCTTAGCACGATGATCGTTTAGTTTGTTGCTACTCCATAACTTATACAT